AAAATGTTAATTTGTGAAGTTAACATAAATTTGACACGTGAAAAGATTAAAAAAATAATAACATATCAGTATTATGTTAATTTTACATTGAAGTAATAATCAAAACGTCGTAACACAAGAAAAGTTCTACATTTTGACGCACGATTTTTTACTGTGTAGATAAGCGGATAAGATGGAATTGGAGCGACAAATTTAGCGCTGAACGCGGCGCCGAATACGGAGGAAGAACACGAAGTGAGAGAAAGAAAGGGAAACAAAAAGAGACACAGAGACGACGGATCGAGTGAACTCTTGAGAACGTTTTGTCCAACAAAAACGACGGATTTCGTAAGCGCGCGGCAAAGTACGAGATACGCAGAAAGTGACACCAACCTTCTGGCCAACGCGATGATACGAGTCTAAGAGCTTGATCGTCGAGGCTCGTACCAGGGTCTGCTGGTTCGGGCTACTCTTCTGCAGCGCATTATTGTTATGCAGCGAGCTAAATGCGGTATTAGCACCGTTCACGGAGTACCGTTGTTGCAGACCGGTGTTGTCCAATTGGTAGTCGCCGGTCGATTGGACCAATGCGTGCTGGATCACCGGCTGGCTAACGTTGTAATCTAACTTGCGCTTCTTCCCGGGGTGGTGAACGGTGTTGCTGGAGCTGCTGCTGCTGCTGCTGCTGCTGCCGTTGACGCTACTCGTCTGCTGCGTCTGGATGAACATGTCACACATTCCCTGCAATCAGACAAGGAGGAGTCTCTTTAACATTGAAAATGACATCAGTCAACACGTTTTTAAATCATACTTAACGATGCGCACATTCTTCTAATTTTAATGTTTACTCATTAGATATAGTTTAGATAAAGTAGTAAACATATTGATTATTAATTATTAATTTTATCTAGTAATTGTCATATATGAAGATTAAAATTTAAGAACATTGTTAATTGTTGAAAATTAACAAGACATCAAAAATTCCGTTGCATCGTGACTAATTACTACCATTGTAAGGCCAGGAGGTCGTTGGCTTTGAATGTTTAAACGGTAAAATTTATCTTTCTTTTCGAAAAAACTTTTTCAAAACACAATGCGACAAAAAAATTATAAGTGGAAAAACATTCGCGCAAAGTCCGAAAAGCAAATAAGGCCAACGACCATGAATATTTTAAAGTCGCCTTCGCCGACGTGCGTCTGCGTAAGGCTTACACGTCGGTTTGGGTCAGTGATTCTCAAAGAACTGGATATCGGATTTCTGCGCTCTAACAATCGTCGAAAAGTGACCGCTTTGATTTTTAATAAATATGATAACCGGATCTGATTGTTTGCGAAAAACAAATAGCGTCAAGAGCAATGAGATTTACTGGCTACACAGTAAAAAATCGTGCGTCAAAATGTAGAACTTTTCTTGTGTTACGACGTTTTGATTATTACTTCAATGTAAAATTAACATAATACTGAT